GGCAGGTGAAGCCGCAGGTGAGGCCTCGCTTCAAACGAGCTCACGACCGCGCCAGCACTCCGACGACGACTTTGCGCGCGCAGGCTCGCCATCGAGTCCCGTTTGGCAACACAAAACGTGTTGTCATTATCGGGTAAAGGGGGGAAGAAACGAAATGACTGTCGTCAAGATGCATTCCATAAAAAAAACGCGTGGCGAGCTTCCAGGTGCAATGCACATCTTCCAGCCTTTGTGATGTTAACATTTCCATAAGTTGGATCAGGGGCCAAAAAAAAAGCCGTCAGAAGACAGAAGACGATCCCACTCGAGTTGGCACGCGGTGCTCATGGAGGCTTCCCATCATTTGCGGTTCAAGGGCGTCACCTCGTGTTCAAAATGAAACTCGCAATTACCAGACGCCGATTTCACCTTTTGCCCATTTGAAGCGTCCGTGCTCTCAAATGACACGATTGAAGTACTGTACTGTTCAACTAAAATGATACAGAACAAAAGACATCGTGAGGTGACGATATCCGACGAAAAAATGGAATGCAGAGCAGAAAAAGTATTCCAAACTTCCAAATACACACATTCACCCACCCAAAATGTGGAAACTACTTCCTCCGTATGTTAAGGACGTGTCTTTGGCATACTTTCATCAAAACCCCCCAAGAGTCCAGATTTCTCAGCATTCCAACCCAGCGCCCAGAGATCGGTACCTCCGCCCCGCAATGACAATTTATCGCCACATCTGTGCTTTCGCCGCAGCTCTGCTTACCTCTTGGTGTTGACATGAGAGTGCATCCTTCCTTCCAATCCAAGTGGCTCTTCCGCCCCGGACCTTCGTGCGGCTTGGCTGATTGTGTGTCAATGGCTGAGAAACTAAGCTGTATATTCAAACGGAGTAACAAGTTGCAACATTAGTTTGACACATTTAATTTTTCAAGGTGAGGCTGAGGCGCCATTTGCTCTGGATCCAAACAACTCGTTTTATAGAAAAAGAAAAGAGCAACAGTAACAATTCGAACCCAAGAGTGAGGAAAAGAGTTACACCAGATTTTCAGTGGTCAACTAAAATCTTTGATATTTGTAAAAGAGGCATGCATTGTGTGAAACAGGAATAAAATATCCTTTTTTTTTACTGCCCCTCCAAAACAAAAAGTAAATATGAAAAGATCCCTTTTACCTTTAATTAAGTCAAGAAAGTACCCGTCCAGCTGACGAACAGAATGGAACACGAATCATCTTTTTTAAAAACAGGACGGCAGACAGGCACAGCGTGGGTGGATCGGTTTGTTAATGGCGCTGGTGTATGCGGAGCTTATTGAGGGTCTGGTACAAACGGCGAATGAGGTTTCGCATCCCGGACGGAAGCAATTCTGACAGCACAGTGTTTAAAAAGCCTTCCCTGTCTGACAGTTGCGTCAGAAATCAAGAGAGTCCAGTCAGGTTGTCAGGTAGTCAGGCTGGGCGTGCGCGTGCGTGCGCACGCGGTTGAAGAGGCTGACAGGATATTGGTGGCGTCTAGAAGCGCTGGATCATGGACTCCCGAGACTTGCCCACGCCGATCCATTTGACTGCAATCAAAATAAAAGGACATTTTACACCCTGCGTCAAAACTCCGAAAATGGCTATTTTCAACAGGACGTATTCAACCAAGGATGTTCCCATTTTTTCTCAATGGAACTCTACACATTGATGATGGGCATCAAATAGTAAATTGCCTCGTCGTACATGACCATGAAAAAGTATTTGCCTCCTTCCCGATTTTTTTGTTCTTCATATCTATCACACAAAGAGGTTTAAATCATCATCACCCAGAGCCTACGCAAGAAAATACAAAATGCTGCTTCTAGATGCCAGTTGAATTTATTTCGGCACCAAAAAATCCCAAACTGCCTGCTCCTATGTGGAAAAAGTCACAAAGTAACAAACGACATTTTTGGGAAAGCCAAGTTCAATTTGACAGGCAAGACCCTAGCACCGCATTTGTTGAATCAAGAAATCACGTCAATAGAATCTTTCAGAGCGAGTCGAGGAGGCGACAAGACCTCAAGAAACAAACGCATCAGGCCACCATCCAAAGAAAATCCAAATCGATCAGTCTGGAAAAGGTTCCAAAGCCATTTCCAAGACTTTGCGGGTACGACCAGCCACCGTCAGAGCCAGCGTCCACAAATGGGACTTAGGCCACTGGAGTTCTCAGTGGCCGAAATAAAAGTTTGCTTCTCCTACACGGCCACTGAAATCGCAGTAATCGTAGCAATCCGTTCTCTTTCCTTGACGCGCATTCATACCGGGCACGCCGACGCGCTCCTCCACGAAGCGTACGTATTTCCGGGCGTTCTCCGGGAGATCGTCGAAGCTCCTGGCAGCCGTCGTGTTACTGTTCCAGCCTGGCAGCGTCTCGTATTGGACCTCCACGTGCAGCAGCACCTCCTGATTGGCTGCCCGTGTGGTCACATCACTTGAAAATCGCATCCTCACCGTCATGGTGTTGCTTAAAAAAAAAAAAAGTTCTTCACTCACCTGGGAAGTGCGGTATCATTTGGCCGTCAACTTTATATGCCACCCCCACTTTGATCTCCGGGAGGACGTCAAGTATGTCCAGTTTGGTGAGTGCTAAACTGTGAAAAGTGCAGAGATTAGGCCCGCGTCGCCAAGCCGACGTTTGCCCGAAAGGTGGTTGGTTCACTCACGCCGTGAAGCCGTTGATCATGTGCGCGTATTTGATGAGCACCAGGTCGAGCCAACCGCAGCGCCGCTTCCTCCCCGTGGTCACCCCGACCTCCTTGCCGCGGGTCTGCAGCAGCTCGCCGACGTCCTGAATGCCGCGACACGGGCGCACCTTGCTTGAGCGCGTGCAAAAGTATCACCCACGTCGCCGCTCGGAAGCAGACAAACCGTGTTCGGGAATGTCCGTTCAAGTCAAGTCAAAAGGCCCGCCTGGAGCTGACCCATCGCCTCGCAAAGCCAAGGGGATCGGAAGAAAACTTTTTCATGGATGGAGAATATACTGTTACATACCAGTATATTTACCAGCTAAACAAATTCAAACGTGAGAACATGTAGCACTATTTCAATTCTTTTGTTTTTCTTCTGCCAACCAATCAGCATGGTGATGACAAAGGTTCATGAGCCTAAATCAGGGGTCGGGAACCTAAGGCTCACGAGCCATAGGTGGCTCTTTTGATGATTGCATCTGGCTCGCAGATAAAACAAAATATTCTCGCTTGTTTCGTCCATCCATCGATTTTTTTATTTTTTTTTTACTGCTCATTTCCTGTTCAGGGCTGCAGTTGGCTCCAAGAGCCATTTTGATTGGATGATACTGGCCAACGTTGCCGTTGCTGCGGAAACAGGTATACGCCTCCTTTTGAATCAACCCGCCCGGCCGTTAGCTCAAAGCTAATCCGAAGTGAATAAGATGCCGAAAAGAAAAAAAGATGACAAGTTTGGTAGACTTTGGGACGAATGGACCCAAGGATTCGCCTTTGTGGAGAGAACGGGTTCTGCGGTGTGTCTGATTTGCAATGACAAAATACCGCTAGTTTGGCTGGATTTTTCGCAATCGCGAGGAACGGAAAACCATTCACATTCATGGTGAGTATTATCACGAAATTATTTAAAAGAATACATTCAGAGGCTTATTATACTGACATTTTGTTGAATTCACTTTTAAAATACAGTTTATATATATATATATATATATATATATCTCACTGAAATACATTTGCAAATATTTTGCTTTTCTGGCTCTTGGTCAAAAAGGTTCCCGACCCCTGGCCGAAATAGTCAGAAAAATCTTCCATGACGGCAATGACGCAAAGCCTCCTCTAGGTGCTAGTGTCGGAAAAGACAAAAGTTTCACTCTTTGGCACGCGCAGCAACTCAAGCAAGGCTCATTTGGGAGGGAGTCATTGATTGCAGCGGGAGAAAGCATTCCAAAGCGCTCTCGGAAAGTCCGACTGGCGTATTTGACTTACAGTATTTGGAGGCGGCCCTTGTCTGTGGGCGCGCCTCACGTTTTGCACCGGGAGCGCAACGGTTACGCTGGCGCCACTCGGCGAGACGCCGAGTTGGCCGACGTACGTTGTTCTGCTCGGAGGGGAAGGCGCCGATGCCCACCCGGGTGGTGTAGGCCTTGACCACGCCGTAAACCTCGCCGACGTTCTGCGGCGGCATGCCGAGGCCCGTGCACACCCCGCCCACCGTGCAGTTGGATGATGTCACGAACGGATACGTCCCTGCAAAAGACGCAAAAAAGGAGCGTGGCCAGTCAACGGCAAGATACTTACTTGTCCTACTCATAAAAACAAAACATGATCCGACAACCTTTTTTCAGTGACCGCAGAGCAAAGGTCGACACGGGTGACGAGGTGGCCTCGCGTGGCCCTTTTTCTTCCCAAACGTGACGCAAACATCGCATCCGGCACGGCCGAGTGCCGCGTCGCTAAAAGGCCCGTGACGGCCGGTCATCTCGTCGATCCTTTCAGGGAATCGTGGCAAATAAGTGACAAAGGAAGCCACGTGCCGCCGCGTGACATTTGCCCCGGTTTCCCTTCGAGTGTCATGAGAGGGACACGGCGGGCGCCCTGATAGCGGCGCTCCCCCCCTTTCCCCCCGCCGTGTTTGGACCACAAGCACTGACCCGCTCCGCCGACAACATTGTGCAAAACAAGGGCTGTGACAAAACAAAGGAGAGCGCGGACCTCCGGCCAAGGCCCAAAACATGATTTAGGCTTGGAGATTTGTATTGCGCTCCCGTTGGTGGCGCCGCAGATTTCAATTGCCGCACACGACGAGCTTCGTTTCCAACCGCAGCCGCGTCTGTTGGATCTGGCCGCCTTGACTGGCCCCGATGCAAGTGGACTGGAAAGGTGAAAGCCCCGATAACTCAGCCCCCCACCATGAATAGCAAAGACTGCGAATAACACTTATTATGTATATTTATATAGAATAACACGAGTTTGACAATACGTCATCTTTTGAATGCGCACGTTGACTTTTGCGTTTGTTGATCAGCTATTTTGGAGATGAACCCATTTCAACAGATCACGATGTTTCAGAGGAAAAATCCTCGATCGGCGGACGGCGAGATCACGGGGGATGACCGTACACGGTTGGAGGGACACAATGGCGGCAGACGTGCGCGTTCTCCGGCACGTATGTATGCACGGACGACTGACCGAAATCGATGTCCAGCAGTGCCGCGTTGGCTCCCTCCACCAGGATGTTCTTTGGAGGCCCGTGAAGAGCCTCGTACATGTAGTGAACGCCATCCCTCACCATTGGCTTGATCTGCTCCACGTAAGCCTGGGGAGGGAAAAACAAAAAAATCACCTTTAAAGGTGTTGCGATTTTGTGGAAGCAATTATTAATATGTCCGATTTTCCAGCCTTTACCTTTAATTTGACCAGCTCACCCTCCATGTCTATATGCAGACTGGGGTACATGGCTTGGTACCGCCGAGCCAAGACTTTATACCTGCACCATACATACAAAACAATCTCAAAGGCTCCAAAAAAAAAAAATGCCAAGCAAATGAATGTCTCTGGGCACCACGGGATGAAATACGGGAGGTGAAGGATCAAACACTCCTGCGTGCTTGCGCTTATTCCGACTGCTGACATGGCAGCTATCAACCTGAAGACGACGGTCGAGGCCCCCCCAAAAATGAAGGCCTCGCCCACTCTGAAGTTGGGTCAATAAACAACCCTGGCTACGATACCAAGAATCGTGACAGAGCTTTAGTTGCACGCTGGCAATACCGCAGCAGGTGCGGAACTTGTTCAGGTCAAGTTTATGGGCGAGTGGAAGCCAAAGAAAAAGCGTGACGAAAGGCTTACGACCAAAACATCGAGCCCTTAAAAGGCGGCTTCCAAGTTAGCCTTGGAGAGTTGCTGGAGGAAGAGCGCAGTGATCTCGGAAACATTGTTAGATTGCGGCTCGACGGGACTTGAGAGACACACGCGGGAAAGATAAAAAGCTCCCGAACCTGTCGGAGAAGTCTTTGAAGTCGGCCAGCAGGTCGCAGATCCTGAGGCCGCTGCGCGCCGCTTTGGTGGAATACACCGGACCGATGCCCTTCTTTGTCGTCCCCAGACTGAGCCGCGCACAAGACAAAAGCCAAAAATACGCCTCAGAAATGAGTGAGCGAGCAGGATCACACAAGAGAGTTTGACGTATTATTTCAGGTGTTTTTTTAGAATGTCAGCAAAAGCGGGACCGCAACCACAAAATGCAAACCTCACTCTCGATAGTGTGTCATCTTCCACACACAGAAAACAGTGCCCATGGCTAGTTTGAACTTCTCCAATGAAAATGTGGACACCATCACATTCAAAGTATTTCTGCGATTGGCCGGCGGGCCGACGTCATGTCGTCTGGAAAGCGCGCGGATGGATATGGACGGGACCGACGTTTTGTCCGCTAAGGGTACAAAATGCTTCGTGTGCGGTTGCTTGACTTTGCCCAGTTAAAAAGCGCAACAATGGGCATGTTGACAACACAACACCGCCTCTCTTCGCGTTAACCATCGGAACGCTCGGCGGGATCGCCGTATCGAGTTACTTACTTCCTGCCTGCTTGCTCTTGCCTCAGCTGCTCCTGAATGCCATCCACGGCTTGGTGGAAATCAAACACTGCGGAGGAGGCAGATAAGCCGACAAAAAAAATTTAAAAAAAACTCGCTCACGCACGCATCCGCAAGCGGGACTTACCGATGTGCGCCCTGTCCGAGATGATCAACCTTTTCTCCCAGTCCTTCAGACCTGCGCCCCCAAATACAGGTTGACACCCAACAGACCGAAGAGGCAACTCGCGCCGAGCGACGCCAACTCACTTTTGCCTTTGCGCTCGTTCTTTGCGGCCTCTTCGAACAGGCCCGGCAGGTGGATCACGACGCCGTTACCTGGGGCCGGAAAGAACAAAAGCACAAGACCCGCGGTCAAGCCGTGACCTGCCGCGGCGTTGGAGGCGTCCGGAGTTTGAAAAGAAAAGGAATTTCATTCGCCAGACGAAATCAACCAGAAAGAGCGACAGTGGCCCCTCGTCGCTGGCGGCTCAGAAGCTCCCAATTTGCTATCGACAGAGCACAAATCTGCACGCAAAGTGCGTCCCCATTAGTTAATGAAGCTACCGCAGACGCATTGACGTTTGGCTGCCAAAGTCAAAAGCATTCCGCTGGAGGCGGCAGGGCCGCAGCGCCAAGTCCTAAAAAGGCGGTTGGTGTCGGCGCCACCCCGGGGGCGCTCGCGCGGATGGCACTAAAGGGCTGACGAGGGGCAGGCACGGACGGGGTGGCCCGATAGCTTCCGCGTCAGACGGGCATGTGCAAAAAAATCCATTCAAATTCTTCAACGTTGATTCATCCAATTCAGTCAAGCCAGCAAGGATGCATGGTGAACATTTTCTAGTTAACGGGGAAGACCGTTACATGGCAGCTTTCTGTTCAAGGTGATGAAGCCAAATTGTGAAGGATTTTTTTTTTTTCAAGATGTTAGGGTGGCCAATGGCCCCGTATCTCACTCGACTGGGTCCACCCCTGCACTGAACAGTAGCCCAACCCCAGCGAGATAGAAATGTGTATCTTTGCATAGCTCGAAAAGCCGTTTGGAATGTGAATCCATTTCGGAGCAGTAGTGGTACCTATTCATGTTCGACACCATACTTTCTCACTCTGCCCACATCCACCATTTTTTTCTCTTTTTTTTTTTTTGAAACTATCCTCGCTGTGCATATTCAAATGTCATGTTTAATCTATGCCGCGGGGCACTGAAAATGGGTGGGGGGCCGCAAATGGCCCCCAGGCCAAGGTGTGGACGTCCGAGCACAAAAGGGGCACCGTGTCGGTGACGCAGAGTGGGCGCAAGGCACCGATGAAGGCGGTGACTTCGGGGTGAATGATGCCGCTGGGGAGGAGGTGAAAGTCGTACTCCACTGAGTCCACCACCACCGTGTGTCCTGCGTTGTTCCCGCCCTACAGGGGACACACACACACACACACACACACTTCAAGAGACACCCACAGGAAGGTTCGAGAACTTTTGCATGACCAAATAGTTGAGCAGGTGGCAACAAACAGCGTCGAGCACTTGCTACGAGTCATCTGGAACGTCACTGGGCTCCAGCGAGGCCAAACATTTTGCATCCATATCCTGTACGTGTCTGGAACCATTCTGGCACTTGTTTAATATTGAAGGCACTTGGTCATGAGCTGCCCCGTGACCGGGTGGGGTGTGTCGCCTTTTCCGAAGGGCCCCCCCCCCCCGTGTCGCAACATCAGTGTGTACAAATACGAAATACGGAACGGTGACTGTGTGTCGTTTTCCAAAGATATTTTTCAGTCCGAATGTAAGTGCTCGGAGTCTCCTCCTGTGAAGTCGTGAACAAACCATTCCGAGGGGTCACTACTGTTGCTAGTTCAAAGCTAGCGCCGTCACGGCAAACCAGACCAAAAGGTGCCTTCAAAGACTTCCCACGAATGGTGAGTTTAAAACACCGAGCAAAACGTCAAGGTGACCCGAGCAGAACAACATACCACTTAGGCAACAAAGTGTCGGATTATGCTGGGCGGCGAGACAGTGAAAGTGTTAGCTTGGTGCAGATATAAAAAATAAAATGAAATGAAATAAGCTGAAATGAAGCCGGTGAATCGGTTGACATTTCCCCCCGCTGGCTAGCTCAACCAAGGGCGCGAAATAAGTGAACGCAACACCAACCTGACATCTGCACACCATGTCGGCGTCTTGAGCCAGCAGGTCCACAACTTTGCCCTTCCCCTCGTCACCCCACTGTGCGCCCAGCACCACCGTCACTTGGTTGCCCACCGGCGGTCTACCGGGCCGCGTCGCCGGCTCCTGGCACCCACTTCCCGACATATCCCACCGCTGCTGGGGGCCGCGGGGCTAGGCTAACTTGTGGCTCGGCAAACACAGCTGAGCGGAGTGGTCCAGGAGCCAGCCCACTCCCACGGCAACGTTAGACGCTAGGAAGTCACACTCCTTGCGCATGCGCATGCGTGTCGACAACCAGGAAGTAGAGGAACTGTGCGCGAGTTTTTTTTCGTTTAGGAGGAAAGGAGCTGTCTTTTCTTTTGAAATGTGTACTGCATTTCTTCTCCACTAGATAGCAGCAACTATCAAATGTTGCAAGAATAAGCCGCTTGCAGATCAATGCGTACCTGTGAGAACGCAGCTGAAAAAAAGAGGTTGACAGATCCGATTTCGTGAATGAAAATGTGGACTTTTGTGGAAGTTGATGCTGACACTTATTTATTTATTGATAAATAAACACCCCAAATTCACTCACAGCGTAATCCTGGCAATTACAACAACAAAAAAGCCCCAGGTGGTCTTAAATGGAGACTTTTAACTGCACCCCAGCATCCCATTCAACAACCTGCACCTATCTTAGTTTGACTTCATTGTGGTTGGTTAGCGCATCTGACTCAGAGTCAAGAGGTTCTGGCTTTGAATCTGAGCTCAGGTCTTCGTGTTTGCAATTGTTTTTCTTCGGGAACTCGTTAGAATATGTGAGCACATGAGGCAAAGCTCACTCACTGTCGTCCTTCCTCTTTTTCCTGTCATCCTTTTATATTTATGGCTGAAAAAAAAAGATTGTCATCAAAATGTTTGCCGCGGATGCTGCATACGCATTGCTTGTGTGAAAAAGTTCGAAGGAGACCTCCGTCAGGAATCTTGGGGAAGTGGTTTCAGGTGGTTCGCATCGTAGCTAGCGAAGCTAGGGAGCTAATCGGGTCCTCGTGACAGCGGTCGCCGGGCCCAATACCAACGACCCGAATCTTTTGACACGCACCCCCAAACACACGCCACCTCCGAAACGCTTCCCCGCGTAGGCGTCGTGTCTCGCGTTTATTGAAGTTCATCTGATGAAAGAAGTGTTATCAGATTGGCCGTTGCCAGACTCGCCAGTGTAAGTCCTGGACCCCAGGCTGAGAACTAATTGGCCCAAGCCTTCCCGATTAGAAGGAGGCCAAAAGCTTAATCCCAGAAGTTAAATTATGTAAAAGAAGAAACTGCAGGGAGTTTCTAAGTTATGTGGGTCAGCGGCAGCGCAAAAGAGCATTTTCCCGCTCCCCCCAACCCCCTTTTTTTTTTAAACAGTTCGGCCCTGAAGAATTCCACACAGGAGCTGAGCCGTCACCGGGAACTCTTGGGGTTGCGCGCAAGCCATTCTCATTCAAGCGTTTGCTTCCAAGGCCACGAGAAGGTTTCCAGAGATTGTCCTTGATGTTTGTGGATTGGTGTTGAAGAGGATCGCCAGCATCCCGCAGGGCGTCCTCTGGAATGTCGAAGACCACGCAAAGGAAACGAGTGAGTGCTCAAGTTGCATATTGAAACGAATCGGGTCATATTTCTGTTCTTGTTGCTCACGGTTAATATGAGGCATGCAGCACAGCCACCCGCTGGTTTCCATGTCTGGCTTACATCTTGTGGCCAAATGGGGGGCCGGGTGAGGTCGGGAGGCGGGGGGGGGCACGTTCCGATTCAAAGCGGTCCATTTCACGGAGCAGGAGCCGCACGACGGCTCACTGGCTCACTCGATTGGCTTTTGGGGCAGCTGCGCCCTCGTCTCGACCTCCCTCGCCCATCCCGCTCCCGATCGACTCCGCCGAGCAACAAATGACACAAATGGGGAACCGTTCTCAAGGCCATCCTATTTTCAACGTTGTCGCCGATCGTCCGCCCGCGGCGGCCACTTGGGCGGCGGCTGCACTTGGAGGCCGAGCGCTTGCCACGGCAGGTTTGGTGAGAATCATAAGCGGCCAGCCTCTTTGGCGGCGGAGAAGCGGAAATGCTGCCCCCGTGCCAAATTTTGAGGCATCCCAACCCTATTGTCTTAGGTTGGCCCAAAGCCCAAGGTAGGGAGGAGCAACTTGTTTTAGCCTTCAGTGCTACTCTGCCATTGTTTTATTGACGCTCTGGCCGCCGTCAACGGCTCCACCCAACCAAAGAATTTCTTGCCGATTATTTCGCCGACCCCAGTTTGAGAACCGCCGCGGTTGCGCATGCTGGAAAGGAAGGCCAAAAGGCAAGAAGACGCGCGTGTTGTGATAGCTGCGCAGGAAGCTGAAAGCGGACCCCCGGGCCCCCGGAGATGAAGCGCCGCAGCAGTCGGCCGACTCTGTGACACCGCAGATCCACACCCACCGCGATCGTGCACATGAAAGAATTGGGAGACTCCCCCCTATGAAACTGAACCAAAAGCAATCACTAATGTGTCCTGTCAATGAGTGATGTACTCACACACACCTCCGGCGGAAGTGGGAGTTCCACAGATTGGCGGGAAAAAAAAAACTCAACGGGTTACATCTGTTGAATGAGGTCACAGTCAAGCATTGCTTGTTACCTCCGTTGTTTTTTTTTTACCAGGTACTGCGGCTTCCTGCACTGAAATGTCACATAACAGCGCAGCTCAGAGCTAAGTATCTCGAACAGAGCGCCCAACGTGAGTGCACGGGCTCGGTTTGTTGAGTCGAAAGAAGCGAGTGCTTCCCTTTTGAGTTCAATCAACAAAAAGCATGAATCGGTCATATTCATATCATCTGTCCGGTACAGTTAACGATCAAATATTTTTTAAAAGTATGATTCAAGAAAACATTTACAGGAACCTTCGGTCGACTGGGAACGTGTGCATTTTCTCCACTTTCTTTCCACGCGTTGGCGCCAAAGATACAGACGCTAAATTGGCAGGAATTTGAGCCGATCCTTTCTGTGGAGCAAGAACTGGGTGGCAAAGTTTGATCGCCGACCGCAAAACATGCAACTCTTTTGACTTTTACGACTCGGTCCCTGAAGCCAGCAGCGTCAGCTCGCAACATGGACATTTGTGTGGCTTTCATGAGCACACCCACCAAAAAAAGCCTCACGAGTCCCTCCCCAAAAGACAGAGGAAGTCGGCCATTTTGCTCTCCGGCGGCTCTCTTCCACTCACTCGTCCGATTGCGACCAAGCGTGTACGTTAGTAGACGGCTGCGTGGCACTCAGGTGTCGGGAATTGGACTTTGAACCCCTCTGGAGCGTGGTGGCGAGTCGAAAAAGACCTCTGAGAGCTCCGCAACTTGAGGGTTGTGTGACTAATTCCGTCGTTGGTTTTTTACCACGCCACCTTATGGAAACATTCTCCTTGTATTTAATGATTTTTTTTTTTTGGGCTTATCGTCAGCGCCATCTTTTCTTTCAGAGGAGTCGCTCGGATTCTTTCTGTTGACCTGACCGAGAAGGAAGTGAGACCAACAAATATTTATTTGAGTCAAAGCACAGCCGCAGCCCGACAGACGGACAAAGACAGACGCACACGGCAGGAAATGACATTGGAGTCTCAGCTCCACATTTCAGACAGGCGTGCACTTTCAAGGAGAGCGCCGACACTCACCCACGCAGACGCGCGGCAACAGTATGTGTGTCGCATGGCTTAGCTGACTGGACTGCTTGACTTCGCATGCATGTGACAAGTCACATGTTGGGCGCTAAAAAAGGCCAACTCGGAGTCCCATCTCACTGTCGGTCAGTCCAATTTGCCACCGCGGTGCGTTCACGGGCATTTATTTGTCAGGTGACGCTGCGACGCTCAGACAGAGCGACTTTGTTGTTCATTTATGGTTTTCTCGTTTGTTGTTGTCCGAATTCTTTTTGCTCCGCGTCCACCACTTTGCGTTCAGCGCTGGCTTCTTTCAGGTGCTCTCGCAATATACTTGCGTTGGGAGTTAAGCCTTTTTGAAAAGACACTACAAGTCCCCCAAAGCTACCAACCACAGTCAAGCAAACCGTCGTTGGTTTATCGCCACATTAGCAGAAAAAAATGAGTAAAAAAAAAAAAAAAAAAAACGAATTCCGGGGAAAATTCCTTCCATCCTGCCAAAAAAAAGCTCCACTGATTTGGTGTTGCAAAACAACCTTTCCCCGCCGATATCATCTCAACCAAAACCTGCCAAAAATAACAAAAATCAATCAAAACAAACATTCTTTGGCATTTAGCTGCAATAGCGTTGACTTAACATCAGAGAACACAACCCAGCAGAGTTGGCGCACGCCTTTCACCGGCCAGCCGAGACTGACTTTATTCCGTGTGTTTGCGTGACTTCAGACGACGACGGCGGGGTCAGGAACGTAACGAGAAAAGAAAAAAAATAAAATACAGACGGCTGGACACGATATAGGCGGCGGAATACGGGTGGCGAGAGAACAATCGCGCGGTGGCGTCCGAGCGTGGCAAACGGGATACGCATGCACAGAACCGCAGCGCTGACAACGCCCTTCCCGGCGGTGCCAAAATATGGTCAGGGAAGACGTCCGCCCCTGGGTGGTTTTTCATTTGGGGTTGGCGGGATGGCCGACAGCCGCTGATAAGACAGAAAAAAAGAACTCATTGCGATGAGGGTCTTGGTTGGTTTTTTTGGGTTTTTTTTTTCTTCTCTTGAGACGTAGTCCTGTGAGTGAAAGAGGACGCGCAGGTAGGAAGAGAAGTTGTCTGGATGTGCCATCTGGGCTCGCTTGGAGTCGTTTCTTGGGTCTTCAAATCGAGCGCAGCGGAAAGAAAGAGTCGGATCATCATCCATCAACGTCTCGATTCGGGGGCAACGAAGGACTGCGATGACCGTGCGAGTGCTGTGATTTCATTGAAAAATGTTGCACCCGTTGCCTTCTTCTCTTGCTGGCGTACTCGCATTGTCCTGAGCCGATGGCCACAAACGTGCGCGGCACTTTTCAAATCCCTCCCAATTCCTATTCTGAGGGTATCGAGAGCCTTCTCTGGCCATCAGCGGCACCCTCATTGGACGGAAAAAAGCTGGGGAAAGACAAGAACGACACGCAAAACAAGATTTCTTTTTCCGGGAAGACCTGCTATCATGTGCGAGGCATTACTGTCACGCGTTTTACAGCCACTCCTCAAACTTTGCTTCGATGACGAAAAGCTCTGGACCATGACCCCGTCTGTCCAAATGCGCTTGACAGCGCTTTGGCGACCGCCTTTCCGAGGGCCAA